CTGGGTCTGACCTGGATAAAAAATCCACACTGAAATGATGGAGATCTTTAAATGACCCCAGCTGGCTGCGTCTTCGGGCACCAATGAAGTCCGTTCCATTGTTTCGATGACGGACGAGATCCTCATGTACCAATTTAACCCTGACCTGACCAAGGTTCAGAGTCTGGTTTGCTTGTACAAGTCTAATTATCTCTGTGGGAAACGGAAACCGAAGGAATTCAAGTCAAACGGCTCTTCAGTTCGAAGGTCAAAGGTCAAAGGCATATTCAGTGTTTTGAACTTGGGAGCCTGCCCCTGCTGCCCGTCCCAAAAGCATGGCCATTGCTCCAGACTTGAGGCAATGAAAACTCAAGTCTCAAAAACTGAAGTCTCGAAAGCATGAATGGCATGTCGTCCGGCAAGCGCCTCGCCTCCTTTGTGATGTTGGAGCCATCATTGGCAAGACTGCACCATCTTGCTTCCTGAGACTTTGTGGTCGCAGGCCATAAGGCTCAGGATTCTGCAGATGGGCTAACACAAAGATCTGCTGCATCGGGAGATGGAAGAGCTAGCACAATAGCACAGAGCCTCTATCCTGTAAAATCCTCTTGAAGTGTCACAACCAAGTGGAACCACGCATATCTCCAATGCTTCCCTCTCAATATAGCCGCTCCGACCCATCCACCCGAGCGCCCGGGGCGGACGCTGGCAACGGGCTTTGAGAATCAAAGGCCCCTTTGGGGTCTGTACATTCAGTGACTTCCAGTGAACTCCATCCAAATGAGATTCCAAAGGAGATCCAGTGATGTCCACTTGGTCGAGCCATCTGTGATCCACCAAGGCTCTGAATCTCAATCAATTGCTGAAGTAGCTGCGGCAATGACACACTCACCTGGAGCGATCCGATCTTCCCTACGGGAACCCCGGTTCGCGCGGATTCGCCTTGCGGTCGCGGTCTCAGCGGTAGCGGTCGCGGTCTCTGTGGAGGTGAGTTCCGACAGGCAGTGAGATGGAATTGGGGAACTGGAGAGGTGGGTTCCGACATCCTTCTTTCGATTTCAGATTTCTTTAAGAGATCTGGTCTTTCTGAGCCAGGCTCCGCAAGACTCAGCAGAACCGCCTGGGTGCGTAACCTGCGCTTCCAAAACCTGCCTGCAGGGTCAGCTGAGGTCCAAACTGCAAAGCGGAAGGACAAACGCTGCTCCTGGCACAACGTCGCAGCAAAAGCTCGAACATAAGCCCCAACCGCCCAAGGTCGAACTTGCACCAGGAAAGCCTCAGACCGACCTGGGAGAAATGTTGGTCCATGGTCCACCAGGTTCTGGAAAATATGACCAGCTTCTGAATCCCTCTGACCCTCTTATTCGAAGCAAAGTGCACCAAGCAAAGGGCACCAAGAAAAACCCGCATGGTGACTTCAAACTGTACCCCGTCGTCACCGTCGTCCATCCCTGAAGAGCCTCGGACGACGCATGAGATGCGGCATGCGGCGGACGCTTGAGTCTGGGACGAAAGAACCGGCCGCGCCTGGGTCTGAGGATCAAAGGCCACATCAACACCGTAGCTTTGAGCGTTGAAGCACACATTCACCGGGCCCTCCTTTCGAAAAGCCACCGAGACATCGTCCGTGTCGTGTCTGTCGGACCGACGGAGCTCCTTCCACGGTCTGACCTACGGGCGACCTACAGTGCCACAAGTCGTCAGCTGTGCCGAAGTGAACGAGTGAAGTAGAATGAAAGAGCATCCATTCCGAAGACGGCCCGTCCTGCACCATGGCACCAATGTGTTCAATGAACCAAGTACAGCACTTTGACAAGTTGTGCAAGAAAATGCAGGTTAGGTCAGAGTCTGAGCTGCGATCCTGTGAAGATGTGTGCGCCGGTTTGAGCATCTGTATGAAAATGCCATGAAAATGCCATGGACAGCTTGTTGTGTGCGAACGAGGCAAACGGCTGGAAGCAGGTGGCTGAGTGGCTGAGTGGATGATGAAGGTGAGTTGTAACTACAAGAAAGAACAAGCAATGGAATGCAGAATCACCATGGCCCATGGCAAGTATTTTTGATCTTGCATCCAGTTAGCAAAAACCAAGCGGTCGAACATCAAGAAAATGCATGACAACGCTGCGGCTCCTACAGATTCACTGCTTTCAGCTATAATGAACACCTGACCTGAATCTTCTGGACCCCTTCAAAGCAAAAAGCCCATTGTTTCCTGCAATGCTGTACGGTCTTGCGATCATGCAGGCCAGTGCCAGGAGCTCCGAACTTGTCTTGGACACTTTCGCTCTCCTACATCTTCCCGATCGCGTGGCTGGAACATCACCTCTGGTCCGATCAGAAACCACTCAGAGGCAGCAAAGCAGCCAAGAACCCCCAAAACCTGGCCTCGCCGGCCCTGGACATTGAGATGGGGTCAGTGCTTGAGGAAAGGGTACCAGTCCGCACACAGCGAACATGGTTCTGAATTCTTACGGCATCCCCTTGGGGGCCGTGCCCGTCGGGATAGCTCGTAGCATCTCCTGTCTTTGGATCACTCCGCTGGCAGCCAGCACCATGAACATCGATCCATTGATCATTCATCTTGCCAAGACACCGGCCGAAGCCGATGTACACGGCATAGCCACCCTCCACTGGTCCCTCTGTCGCATGCGTTGTGCTGGTCCAATAGAAGGGGTAGTCTGTCTGTCCGGCCTCATTCGTCAGGGAGCTCACTGCGAAGAGCGGATCGATCGCCGCTGAGCTCGTGGTGTCTGGGGAGCGGCTGTAGTCCACAATGGTATGCAGTTCGTGCCTGGAGCCGCTCGTGGTATCAACTCAAACGAAACGCAAAAGAATCTACAGTAGCTCAGTGGGTGAGGTGAAAAATATTCATCCCCAAGTAAAGGTTGAAAACAAAAGTATCTGAAACCACCACCCAGATGCGCATTTGGCAGTCGCCAGTCTGTCAAGCCAGCATGTGAGGAACTCTCACAGTATGCAAGAGCCTCTTGCCAGGAAAGCCCTTGGCCACTATCTTCAAGCATCCAAGTCAAGTTGGTGGCTGCATCACTAATGACAGAGCTGGATGAATTGTTGGCATTTTCAATCTTTGCAAACTGATTCTCTCCATACCTTTCACATACTGCGACAGACCAAGAATTCAAAAGATTCCCTCATAATACGACAGACCATGGACCATGGCTGTTTAAGAATGCTGAGGATTACCAAGAACCAACACAAAATCTTGAATAATTCAACCTCGGCACGCCGGGCCGCGTACATAGATGGCAAAATATCCCAGCGACGCCAGTCGTCGACTGGGCGGCGGCGGCTTGGACCCATCTGGGCACAAGCCATCCGGAGGTGGACCATCAGGACATGCTCCAGCCGCACAAGGGCCAGAGCCCTCGGTACATCCACCACCAGGTGAATTTCCGCTGGGAGAGGCCGGATCTGCATTGGAGGAGGTGGGGTAACACTTGATTCGACCATCCGCGAAGTTGACACCAAAGAAGCACTCCTGCTGGTTCATCACGGTGGAAACATAGACATTGGAGGTGACCCACTGAGAGTCGATGACGCGCTCCCCTGCGGTCACATTGCCATACTGAAAGCCGAAGGAGGAGTCGATGAAGGGAGTCAAAGCTGATGCGTCTGTACTTTGAACCCCAGAGACATCTCGTCCACTGAACAGAATTAAAGAGTACAACTCCTTGATGCTTGGCACCCTCCAATCACTATGACCCGCCAAGGTGAAGCTGCCGGCAGCTGCTACTGCATCAGCATACTGCATTTTGGACCCTGGATCCTTTTGCCACATGAGACCGGTATTTGCATCCGTCACAGTGCCATCAATATTGTCGGTGTAGCTGGGCTGAAGGCCGTTGTATTGTGCATCTTGGCCAAAGAATGCACCACTCGCTGGGCAGGTCATGGCGTCTTGGACCCCGAAGCATTTACTCTGGGCTGTGTCGACCACGCTGTACGCGGCAAGGGTGTGGCGACCTGGGCGTTGCTTTCATGCTGCATGCTGAATGCCAAACTGGAGTTCAAATGAAAAATACACTGAAATCAGAAAGGAATACAAAAACATCAAAAACCTGATAGAACCCACGAACCCGAATGCAGTCACTTTGTATAGAAGCGTAGCACTCAAAGCGTTCTTGTTTTCGGAGATGACTCGCAGAGTCATCAAGAAAGCAGCGCCAGCACCTCCCCAGCCCTGCGGACACTTTTGCTTGACACTCTTGCTGGACACTCTTGACACGACACTCTTGCTCGACGCTCTTTCTTGACACTCTTTGCTAGACAATCTTTCTTGACACTTTCTCTTGACACTCTTGCTTGACACTCTTGCTTGACACTCTTGCTGGACACTCTTGCTTGACACTCTGCTAGACACTCTTGCTTGACACTCTTGCTTGACACTCTCTCTTGACACTTTTTGCTAGACAATCTTTCTTGACACTCTTTGCTGGACACTCTTTGCTAGACACTCTTGCTTGACACTCTTGCTTGGCACTCTTGCTGGGCATTCTTTGCTAGACACTCTTGCTTGACACTCTTGCTTGACACTCTGCTAGACACTCTTGCTGGACACTCTTGCTGGACACTCTTTGCTAGACGTTCTTGCTGGACACTCTTGCGTGACACTCTTTCTTGACACTCTTTGCTTGACACTCTGCTAGACACTCTTGCTGGACACTCTTGACAGGACACTCTTGCTTGACACGCTTGCTAGACACTCTTTCTTGACACTCTTTGCTAGACACTCTTGCTTGACACTCTTGCTTGACACTCTGCTAGACACTCTTGCTGGACACTCTTGCTGGACACTCTTTGCTAGACATTCTTGCTGGACACTCTTGCGTGACACTCTTTCTTGACACTCTTTCCTTTCTTGACACTCTTTGCTTGACACTCTGCAAGTCTCCAAAACGAGCGTTTCCTACGAGACTTCCTCCAAAAGTCACACGTCATAATGAAAGGGACAAGGGTTCCGGAATATCAGTAAACAACCACCACAACCTATTTAGGGGAAGGGTGGATGAAAGATACCCGATGGTATGGAGGACCCTGGTCCTAGAAGGCACACGGCGGGGAACACCCGAAGGATTGGAACCCGTGGTGTGCAGGAGTGCGGGTTTGGGGAAGGAGCTCCTACGGCCACCTACAACACAAACCCGAAAGCAACGAATGCGCGAAAGCGAAAGGCACCGGCACGACGACGGAACGACGGCGTGTCGAAGCTGAAAACCAGCGGCACGCCAGTTTTCTTGAGCCATGACGGGCGTCGGTGTGAAACAATGACTTGTCGACCGACGACCGAAAACACTGTACATGAATCCTCATGACATGGCAAGTTAGGGGTTACCACAGTGCGTGATATTTTGACTGTCATAGCTCCAAAACGAGCGTTTCGTGCGAGATTTCCTCAAAAACTCACACGTCAAAGTCTGCAAAACGAGCGTTTCGCACGAGACTTCCTCCCAAGGTCAAGCGGAAACACCCATCGGAGCACAGCCATCGCGCAGCCCTGCCAAGCAGTTTCGCGATTCCGGGCAAACTTGTCACACAGAACGAAGGTAGTGCTCTCAACATAAGGCCCTCGCCACGTGGTTCGATCATCAATCTTAATGAATCGAAGAAGTTGCTCGCAACCAAAGAAAGCTCGGTGAGCGATATAAGTGCAGTGCCGGCGGGGTGTTTCAATTTGGGCTCACACGCCAATCCCAATGTCACAGCGACATTCACCTCTACCACAACTCACAACCTCACGATTCCCTGCGCCCGCCACGAATCTTTCCACGTCCACACGTCTAACGTGCACAAAGTCCTGCACCTGCCACGAAATGTCACCTCCGTCACACATCACAACCTCCCGATTCCCTGCGCCTGCCACGAAAATCGCACTTCCACACCTCAAAACCCGCACAAAGTACTGCGCCTGCCACGAAAAGTGACAATGTCATCTCATGTGAGCTTCAACAAAATTTGCACCACACCACACGTTTGGCATGATTTCGGCCCGTTCTGATGTGCTCCCATCCACCAAAATCACCATTTCAGCTGAGACTTCTCACGAAAACAGCGCTTCGATGCCACACCCTGAAACGCAACCCCCAATGGCACGGCCACATCCAACACCCCAAAAACACGACTCTCCAAACGCTAATCCCAATGAAATACCGACACAAACGTGTCACTTTCACGAAACCCTGCGCCTGTGCAGCGAAGTGCATCACGTTTCTTGCGCGACATGTCACTTTCATGCAAATCACAATGTAATAGCGTCCATGAAAAGTCACTTGCAAAAGCTTCCCCCAATGGCAGGGCCATAGAGACATCACACGGACGGTTGCAAACGGTTGCAAACGGTTGCGGACGGTTGCGAACTCGAAAACAACGTCGGGCAAACACAGCTCTACCCTCAGACTCCCAAGTTAAACGAGAACCCTTCGCTACGCATTCGGGAAAATGACCACTCATATGGCCGGGGCCGAGTCCAGCGGCATGCCACTAGAAGGCACAGAGCACAAAACTTGGAAGCCATCATGAACAGCTGACACAGCTCCACCAATCTGCGTTTCTCGGGCCAAACCCTCTGATCGGTATTTCTAGTCACGAAATGGCAAGCAAAGCTCCACGCTCACAAGATGGCAAACTGGAAGCTGATTGAAAAACAGAGGTGATCAGGAGGGCTGCCAGGTCCCAAGAGCTGCCAGGTCCCAAGAGCTGGTTTTTCATCCTTTTTCCGCACAAAAATGAACTTGGCAACGCCGTCGCCCTAAGCGCCACTGGCTGGACCTTACTGCCACTTACAATGCCACGAGTGAGGCTTCCCGGAACGACTGACAAACAGCCGGCCATATCCATGGTAGCAATCATGGTGATGTTTCGTTTCAGCCGCATGGCAATGCTCTTGATTGTTCCGCCCGCTCTCGATGACTTCAAGCCAACAACACCGTTCAGCTCGTGAACATGTGTGAACCCATTGTCACCTCGCCTGGTGTCGCCTCGCCTGGTGGCGGGAGACCCGCCTGCGTGGGACCAGCTGAAATCCGGAAGCTAAGCCAAGGCTGGCATTGGGGGGCGGCCGGAGGCGATTCCAAATGAGCTGTTACACAAGCCCGGCCATGCTACAGCTGCTACGAAATCCAGGTATCCAGGTAGCCGATGTCAGCATTCTGGCATTCCGAGCCTCTGTTCTTTTCAGTCCTCCGTCGAGACCCCCCAAATTTCAGTGACCCAAATCTTCCCTCCAATTTCAGCCCTAAGCCACCTAAGTCCAAGCCAACTCTGGGGGGGGAAACGCTGGGCTCGAAAATGGTCGAACGTCACCTCCAATCCACTTGGCTCGTTCATCCCCTTGGGCCTCGTCGCTCGGTGCGAACGGCACAGCCTCAGCAGAGAGCGCACCCGGCGCGAGAACGGCACGGCACCGCGGCGGTTGCGCGCTTCGTCGCCCCCTCCGGCTCCGGCTCTGCAGCGACATCTCACCAAGCTCCGAAAGACCACGAAAACCCAATCGTGGTGCGGCTTCGTTCACCTCAAAAAAGAGGCGACAGGAGACCGCTGGTTCTCTCTTGCGACACTCCCGATGGGGGTGGGGAAAAAGAAAAGGGGACACGACACCAAGGACGGAACGCTCCGAGTGGTTGGCTCGCCCCCGACCCGGTCGCCGACCCCCAACCCGACCCTGCGCATCAGCGCATCACTGGGGCGATCGGCGAACACTGAGCATCCCGGCAGCGGAGGGCGACTGAAGCGCAACATGTTGGGCCCGCAACGGAAGGCTTTTCAGTTCAAGATACACTGTGATGAAGAGGTTACAGCAACAAGAAAAGCATGCTAAGACCCTGAAGAGCAAGGGTGGAAGAAAGAACGGCGTATATGGTTCTAACATGCAAAAGCTTTCCAAACATTCAGCGTGCTGTCCACGCACAGGATCGCTTTAGTATCGAGGATCGCTTTGATCCAATCTCGTTGAATCCCCACAAAACACACATCATCTTGCATGTTCATGGCCATGTCTCTTAGTTGCTTCTCGTTGTCCTATGTTCCGGCTCTGGCTGAGAGTGCATGCAGACCTTCCTGTGTACTTGCTAGCAGCTCTTCTTCCCCCAGTCCATTCGAAGGACAGATTTCGAAGGACCACACGCGGCTGACCAAGTCGCTGGCTGAGAACATCACCTTTTGGACTCTGTAGAACGCACGTGTTGTAGAACTTTCTTCAGTTCAAGATGTCAATTTGAAGAAATCGCCCGAAATCCCCGCAGGTAACGGAGACTTTCACAGGTCTTTTCATGGTCTTTCCCAGGTCCTTCACAGCGAGGAACCTGCAGCCTGGTGAAACCACATGGGCGCATGAAAACTGAACACACCAGCTTCAACTCACGAGAAAAAGCTCAACAGGTTTGAAGATGTGTTGACCGGAACCAGGTCTGGACCTCACCTGAATCTTGCAGTTTGGGCTTGGACAGCCAAGCAGAATCGGAAACGAACTCCACTTCGGCGCCGAGTCTCGGACACCCAAACGCCCCACCGGACGTGACTCCACTCCACGTGGCGACGGCCGGACGAGGTGGCTCTCGCAAGCTCTCCTGTTTCTTCGTCATCTGGCAAAGCAGCATCTGCATGCATCTGCCAAGCTTCCACTTATTCATCGGACCAGTGCTACAGGGGCACCAGCTATTTCCAGCAGGAGCAGAAGCAGCGTCGGTTCCTGTTGTTCGTTCAGATTGCAGACTGAAGAGGGTTCACCCGGACGCATGCTGGGTTAGATGCCTTTTCCGCAGCTTGATCCGACTCCGAATCCTTTGTGTCTCCCTTTGCCAAGTCTCCCAGAGGCAACACCGATTCACATGAAGTTTCGCTCTGTTCTGTGGACAACACACCGAACAAGCACCCTTTTCGATGTGCCATGAGCTGTTC